CAACTCACACAACAAGAATTTTGAAGCAATATAAGATGTAATGTTACTGGGTAACAATTTTTGACAAAACATCTGTAAAAATCTTGAAGAATTCAGATGGCCTCAACGACAATGCCATAAATCCTAAACTGAAGCATTCTTCAAAAAATTCAAACCAGCTGAATTAACCGAATAATCCAACGACAAAGAATTAAAATCCCCCGTACCACTACTATCTCGGCGAACCAAATCAGCACCAAGGCTCGACTGATAAAGCAAGTCTCTAGCCTCCTCTCCCTGCGTACTCGCTCCAGCACACTGCTTCAGTTCATTGAGAACAAACACACAACCTAGCTTAATTCCCTTACCGATCACCTTCCCGGTCGTCTTGTCCTGAATGACATAACCATGAGAGTTAAACGTAACATCACAAGCACCCTTTGTTAATTTTCCAATAGAGACCAGATTAGGGAGTAAGCGAGAGATATAAAAGAGTATTCAGAAGCTTAATAGAACTGGCCGACAAGGTACTCTGACCTACTTTCGAGAGGAGATCTATCTCCATTGTCCACAAGTAAATACAAGGGAGAAACATGATGCAATTTGTCAAACTTGTTCTGAGCAAACGTTATGTGATTAAACGCTTCAAAGTCTAATAACCAATGAAATTTCTTACCTAAGACAGCCCACGTGGAGAATGCGAAACTCAAAGAACGAGGAAGGGCCTCTTGTAAAGTCTCGTGCACAAGTTTCTTCACAAGATCAGGAGAGAAGGACGGTGTGAAGTTTTTGTTCACAGCTGATTCAGAAAGAGCAGATTCTTGTTGATCCCGTAGTCACACCGAGACCGCTGCTATTACTCAAGGATGCAACCGAGGAAGAATCAAGAGCGAATGAATAGACAGCACATAGCCTCAACGAAGAACCAGCATGCGAAGCCCCACTAGAGGAAGAACCATAATTGGGATAATTAATCTTCCCTCATTGTTGAAGGTCGGACATTCGAGCACAATATGGCCAGTCTTCTTGCAATAATTGCAGTGATTACATTACTTTCAATGAATTTGAATATGACCTGACTCTTGACAATAATGACACACCACTTCAAAATTAGTCGAACGACCAAATTGAGGACGAGAATAATTACCAGACCTTCCAACAGCAAAAACAGACTCGGAAGCGTGACTATCAAGTTGAGCTTGACTCTTGATCCTTGTTTCTTCACGAAGCAACTCAGGCAAAACAGCATCCAACTTAGTAACCTCATGACGAATTAAAGACGTGTGGATTGGTCAAACTCACAATGTAACCTCATTAAGAAATGCATAACATGAGATCAGGTACGTTCTTTCGAAACTTCAGCAAAAGCATCACCCGTCAAAAGTGAAGCTTTTATGAGATCGTACTCAGTCCACTGATGCAGGCACATTTTTTAATAGAGATTTTACCTAAAATGATAAAATCGGAATCGTAAAATCATAGGCATTTTAAGTACCATATAGAAACTAACATATAATAATGTTAATAGAGTAAATAATTAATAACATAAAGATATCTAACATTTAAAATTATAATATTCAAGATTAATGTTCCAAAATCATCATTTTTATTGTTATTTAATGCTTAACTCAAAATAATTCTTGAGGAAGGAATATAGCTCATGTGATTTGACTTTTATTTTTCATGTTGTCAAGATAGTTCAACTCAAAGTCATATTCCGACATCGTCTATTACGCATAATTTATAACTAAGAATAAGTGAACTCCAATAAACTAATTAATACCAATAGTTTGGTACAAATATATTAATTAATTAATTAATTATACTGGTGTTAGTTCTTACGTACTTACTATGTTAGGACAAATGTTTCACTAATTAGTTAAACAGGGCGAAAGGAAAGGGATTGATCGAGTCTTAATTTGATTATTTTTTGGTTTCAAATATTTTTTTAATAGAAAAAATATATGAGAAGATCCTCGTCATTGCCCTTTCCTCCGAAACAGCTCTGTTTTTTTAATTGGCTCAAACTTCCTATTAAGTTCTCATAAGATCAAAATCCTAATTTTGGAATGATTTTACGATTTTAACAATTTTAATCCTAATTTTAAGGTCCATCAATTTTATAGTAAAATCATATCAGAATCTCTAAGTAAAATTCTAAAATGCTACGATTTTACGATCAAAATCCCGATTTTGACTGCGTTGCCCTTGAAAAATGCTCGAGATAGAAGTCTCAAGTTCATAAATGCGTGACGTATTTGCCTGAGAATGCGTGTCACAGATATGCCGCCACATGTCGTGAGCGGTTCCAAAATGGCGCAGGCTCAACATCGTTTGAACATCAACGGAGGCCAACAACCACGTCACAACCTGGGCATTAGACGATGCCCAATCCTCCTTCTGCTTCTCCATAGTATCCACGCTAGGACGCTTTGATTCACCTGCCAAAACAGATGAAAGCCGCTTGCCTTTTACAAAATTCCGGAATTGGAATTCCCATAGAGGGAAGTTATTCCCATCAATCTTGACTGCAGCCATATCCATCTTTGTTGGATCCATAGGCACAACACAACATATATATATAGAGGTCCTCAATCAAACCGTAATGACAGTTAATGACTAAGACATATATGTACAATTATAATTAGGTACCTATAAGTTAATAGGTCAGGGATGAGGTGGGTGATTGAGGACGATGATTTGCAGAGGTGGCGGCGGTTATTGAGTCAAGGGGAAGTGGAGGGTACTTTGACGGGAAAGGCTGGATTTTGAGTTAAGTTAGGGGAAAGGAGTAAAAGAATATCTTTAGTAGAGTTAGAGTGATAAACTTGAATATTTAAAACGTCAAATAGAAGTTTAGCTACAAATCATGTCTCTCTATGATCTGTTGCAGGCACTCCTCTCTTTAGTTCCATCCTAAAGACAAAATGATTGAGAGAAAAAGGCAAAGCAAGAAACCTTGTCACCTCATCACCACTACAGGTCAAGAACATAGACTAATGCTAAAACCTTGAACCAAAATTAAGCTCAACCACTAACCGTGAATTTGGAAATACTGGGGACATAGAACAGTATCAAATTCGCGACGTTTTTAGCCTTTTTTTTAACAGTAGTAACTTTCATTCCATCAGAGCAAGCAAAGAAAAGAGTTCATTACAACAGTGGAGCAATAATATTAGAAACTGTAATCCAATCCATAGGTAATGATTCTGATCTAGCTTGACAAGCAACCCAATCCGCCAACATTTTCAGCCGCCTTGGGACGAACTCGATGTGAATCCAAGGCGAAGAGATTAAGATGGAAGCCATACGCGCAAGGGAAACTTGACAAAGCCAAGGCCAAGAGGCTGGATCCTGATGCAATGCAAGATTCAGCACTTGACAATCTGAACGAATGCAAGTAGGGACCGGATCTTACGCTGCAAGCAAGATAGCATTGAGGAGACCAAAAGCCTCAGCTTGAATCAGATGAGAACAAAAGAAAGACTAGCCTTGCCATCATACACTTGACCCTGAGGATTAGCAATAGTAATCCCAAACGCCGCCGGGAGGGATTCTGGGACAAACGAGCCGTCGCAGTGGATCACTCGTAAAGTAGACGGTGGTTCAATGTTGTGATGGGAACCCCTCGGCTGAGAAGATAAAAGAGCAGGTCGGCGGGGAGCAAGTGAAGCTCCAGTGAATCGAGCTTCATCATTTTCCAGGAAGTCACGACCTGCAACAATTATCGTGGAGGCTGGGGAAGGAGCCTTGTTATCAAAGACAAAGGAGTTCCTAGAAATCCAAATATTCAAGAGACAGCAGACAAACTGACGAATGCGAGTGTCATTATAGTCTTCCTTTAGTCCAAAAAACCAATGCTCAAAGGACGAGCCCTGCGCTGGGAAATCAGAGAGCAGACCTGAAAGGTTCCACGTTTCAGATGCGTGTCGACAGAAGAAGAGGCAGTGCATAATAGATTCAACCGGAGCATCATAGATTGGACATCTCGGCTTGGGGGCACATTGTCTTGTATGGAGTCTTTCCCTGATAGCAATAGCTCGCTTAGAGCATTTTTCAAAGGAAGAATCTAAGCTTCGAGGGAAGGGCAAAAGACCAAAGCCAAGACCATTCCAACGATGATGCAAGCCTATCAATTAACCAACAATGTTCTTCTCAACTATGAGTCACGAGAAAAAATCTTAATGTCAAGCAAAATGCTATTACTAAGTAATATCTTGGATTACTTTGATATGGTAGCATACTTTTTTGGGTATTTTAAAAAAAAGTTATTATAAAAGACGATACTTTACCAATATTTATTTAACCATAAATTTGTTTGGCATAATATCTATTATGAGTTTTACAAACCATATTTAAGTTGCAGGTCGGTTGGTTCTGGTTTTTGCCGCTTTACTCCTTCGAACTTGCTGGAATGGTCAACGGCGTATGGCAGGATAGATTCAGAGGCTGGAGCCAGGCGTTGCTGCTGTTCTGCTGTGCTGCTGTCCCTTGGTCACATTATTAAAACTCAGGGACTGAATTGGCTGCAGGAGAGTTAGACTGGTTGATCTGTGGCGGCGAGGCCGGACTTGGAGTTGTTGCTGGTCGTTTTGTTCAGATTGCTGCCGCTATGCTCTTTCGATCTTGCTGGTTTGGGCAACGGCGTTTGGCATGTTTGTCTCAGAGGCTGGAGGCAGAGTCTTTTGGCGTTTTGTTGCTGATGTTCTGCTGTGCTGCTTCCCTTCCTTTGTTTTGTCTGGCAGGGATGGTTTGGCCCATCTAGCCAGTTTTTTGTCTTTGTGGCTGTTCGCTGCTATTTTTCGGTTTTGTTCTTGTTCGCAGCTTGGTTCAATTCTCTTGAGCTTTAGCTGCTTTTCTCGAGTGTAACTCTTTTTCGTCTTCTTAATATATTCTTTCACCATTATCAAAAACAAACCATATTTAACTTTAGAAAACAAAAAAATCATAAAATCTCTAAGAAACTAAAACCATTCAACGAAATATTTTAATCGTCAGACATTAGAATGCTCTTTTTCCCTAAAAATAATAATAATGATACAACAGTAACTAAGGTCTGGTAAATGAATCGCATGCTGAAAGGTGATGTAATAATCTAGCATGCATGGAGGAAAGCTATTCTGGTACAACATCTCCAATCTCAATTTACATCCAGTTTATAGATATAGGCACTTGGATGATGACTCGGCGTATATACAATACTAAAATTACATACACACACACACATATCGGCGACGTCCGCTCGCGATCAAAGCTTACATATACCTCGAATTAAAGCATGCATATATATATATATATGTATAAGAACAACATAAAATCAAAATTTTAATAAATAAGTTGAAAGGGCTATAGCCTATAATAGAAGTTGTTCCCTGCGCCTTTTCCATGCATATTATTATGTATATAATAATAATAATCATCATATATGGTGGCCCATCATCCACGGTGGCAGGAGCGCATTGGCTCGACTACCGGATGATGTAGTTCCTTCTTCCGCTCCTCCACTACCTCTCGCAGGATAAACACCTCCGCTGCCGCTTCCGCCACTGCATGTTCACACTGTTGGATTGGGCTTGGCTCTTTTCAAGAAAGAGAGAGGGAGGGAGAAAGAAGTGAGGACAGACCTTATTATGTCAAGAGGATGCTGTAATGGCTGCTGGGCAACGTTATTGTTTGTAGTAGTAGTAGTAGAAGGTAAATCGAGGGTGCCATGGGTGGTCTGTTGAGGAACTAGAGAAGATGGGTCTTGCTGCTCCCACTCTCCTTGCTCACATATTTCCTTCTCCCTTTCCTTCACCTGCACATATGGGTTCAAAGGACAGGAAAACAAGTAGCACAAATTAACAAAACATGAAGGGATGCAAAAAATGGTGGAGTAAAGCTGGATCGAGATCCATTGGGAAGCACCTTCTTTGCCAGTTGGTTGTTCTGCTCCTGGAGGGCCTTGTCCTGTTAAAAAGTAGATGATAGATGTGACCTCCTAATTACTCTACATGTATATGGCTTAACAATAATAATTTAACTACTTCAGCCCCATAATCTGGATAACTAACACACATTATCTCCTGAAAACCAAAATAAGAACCTCAACTTGACCATATATTATACTCTTAACTGAAAACTAGCTAGTTAGGCTTGCTTTTACCTTTTTCTGAAGATCTGTGATGGATTCATACATCAGCTGGTTCTGCAAGAATTGCAACGAGATGGTGATTTACTTCAAGTCATTTGCGTCAATAATCATCACCATTAGATTGAACCATGCTTACCTTTCTTGACCGAATGTGCTTAAGAGCAGAATCAAGTTGTTGCTCCAGGTTTTGAAGTTCCCTAAGGCTTAGCGAGTCCAGGTCTTGTCCATTGTAGTGCCTGCAAATCAAAAAGCGCAGTAGAGTGGGAATTTGAAGCCAAGAAAGAGAAGATATATATAGTTATAAATGTTCCATTAGACCATCAAGTAGTATATACATTTTTGCAACAAGCAATTGCCTTAGTTACCTTAGATTCTTTTGCAAGACTTCAATCCTAGCCTTGAGCTTTGCATATTCTAGAGTCCAGCTACCCTGTAAATTGACGACCGGGTGCGTGCATGTCAAGCACAACAAAATGAAATGATAAACACAGCACAGAATGGGAATTTACTATATACACTTGGTTCCCGGATGTCCTGGGCAACAAACCAGCAATGTATATTCCAATACCAACTTGGGTGTAGTACTCACGCATGTTTCAGTGTCATTGGCAAGAAGCTGCCTCTCAGCATAGGAGTATCTCTCGTAACGTTCTAGGATCCTCTCCATGCTGTCAATCACACAACCAAAATTTAACAAAACATATGTGTGCTGACTTAAATGTGTAATATAGATGGCAGGGACAGCACATGTTTAACTAAGGGATACATAGACTAATATCTCACTCCAAGCATACTGTTTAGCTCGCTTAAGTTATTGTGTTTTTATAAATCTCGATCTGGAATCTGCCTTGAATTAGTGACTTAACCTGCTGGCATCAGTGAACTTCACACTTCATTCGGGTGGTAAGAGGAGACGCTTGCATTTGTATTACTTTCCTGTATTTAACTAGTATTTAAGTTTGATCTGAAATATATTTGATGAGATGCTAAGCATGCATGCTAACATGAAAGAACTTCATTCATCTCTACTAACCGAAACTGAAATTTGGCGGGCGCGTAATGGTGAGCCAAAAGAAGAACCAGAGGTGGATTAGTTTGGGTTTTAGATGAGTCCATGCTGTTTTAAGTTCCGTGCTACATTTTTCTAAAAAAATACATCGTACTAGAGGTGGGTAATAGACCTAGTTATATATGTTTTGATTCCCAATTAGTAAGTGTTTGTCTGGTCCTATCTTGAGAACTCCATGATTTTTTAATTTTTTCCCACTAGGATGCTTGTTCGATGTTACAAGACTTTACTCAATAGGAGCTAGTTTTCGAGAAGAAAAGGAATGTGGACAGCTAGGTAGACAAGACACACGGCCGGGTTTATGAAGCTCAAAGGTTGTGTTTTCGGCCTTTAGTGTGACATTGTTGTTTCCAGAAACATGGTTTGATAATAATAAAAACATGAACGTGTTTCTGAAGATGAATGCATGTTTTTGAATTATTTGTGTGTTTTAGTATCAGAAAGTTTTTTTTCTACAAGGAAGACACACTTGTAGAGTGAGAAACACAACATTGATCAACCCTAGGCAGAGTGATCATATCGAGTTCTTGAGGGGACTTTTACACCACATTCATCTCTTGAAAGTTCAAGAATCAAGCAAAGGAGTGGAGATTGAAGGAGAGAAGAAGATTCAAGCAAGTCATGTTCATCCCTCCTTTATTCGAGTTCTCTTTCCCTATGTGCTAACATTTGCTTTTCACTTGTGTTTGAGGAAGCCTAGCTAGATGTAGTTGAATAATTGTTGTTTGTGAGCCTAGACTTGGCATTGCTCTATTTCTATATCTATTCTATGTTTTATCGAGTTTCTCTTAATTTTTGCCAATTTTGGGTGGATTATTTTCTTACCTAGGAGAACAAACCTAATTGGGTTGATTGATTATACATATTTTGGAAAGTGTTGAGTTATTTGATTTCCTACCCAGGTGAAAGCCCTCTAGTGCCTTAGATTTTTTCTACCGACTAGCTACTTTAAGAGGGTCTTTGATGCTTTAATCCCGCATTAGAGGAGTTGAGTTGAAAAATCTAGGGTCACAATGATTGTCATTTGATTCATAGCTACAGAAAATCAATGTCCAGGTAAGCCTTTTGACTTGAGAGTCTAACCAATTTCATCCATGAACCTTAGTTAATAGTTTCATTGTTAGTTTGAGTAATATAGTTGTTAGAACTAACTAAAACACAAAAAGTCGATTTGGATAGATAGTAATCTGAAATTTTAGTATTAATTTAGCTTAGAGCTTGAGGAATACTACATTGGAAACCATTATACTAAGATTCTAGCATTGGTTTTGTCATTATTAAGTGAGTTAATTGGTAGCAATTTGCAAATGGACTGCACCACATCATATATGACACAAACCACAATGCATTGCGTGACAATGAACTGTGTTTTAAATAAGACCTCAATTTAATTGATATGGTCAAACCAACCTACTTAAGTAGGCAGTTTGATGTAGTTTGAATCGCATCATGTATCTAATCACAATTTAAATTGAACGATGCATATGATTTAATTGGTGATAAATCCTTCAAATTCACTTTCTACTGGTGGTGGAGTCACGCTAAAAGTAAAATTTTGAAATATATTATTGAAATATATGTAAAATTTGTAACAAATTTGAATAATATAGTATTAGATAAGGCTTCAACCTCATACCCAATTACCGAGATTTAAATCCTTTAGACTTAAATGTTTTTAACTTTTCTTTCGAATTTATGGCTCGGCTTTCTACCCTCATGCTCAATAAAAATAATCCTAACAAAAACCAACCCAACCCGAGTAAGCTATAGCTTCAATACTCGGACAAATAGAGTCGTTCCACAATGTGTAGGTGTCTGAATGAGTATACAAGTGATAAGCTGTTTCGTAAATCGTAGTGAATTTCAAAGTACGAAAGAAGGTCAAGATAAAGTTAATCATGATTCTCCAGAAAACCAAATGCAGGAATTAGATAATGGTGTGAGCAAAACGACACCCCTATTACACCCTGCAATTTCATGCCCCCCCAGAATATGCACTCAAAATGAGGTGCGTGAAGTCTCAGTTCCGCCAACCCAAGAGATCTCCCGCTCCAGACCTTGTATTGAAGCAATGGCGGAGACATTTATGGTTGCAGCAAGAGATCTTCCTTCTACTCCCCACCCAAGGCGTACATATCTATCTTTTACATAATTTTTGCACTTGATGCCATCTGTCTTTTATATATCATCTTGTGGTTTGGGGTTAGAACAGCAACAGATAGCAATTGCGGGATGGTTCGGCGAGGTTCGATCGCCCCCGATGCCCACATCTTATCCTATAAACTTTAACAAATAGATGTATGTACAGTACTGCTGTCATTTATATATTTTTGAATCTATATGGTAACTTTTCCATCGAAATATGTTCTTACTACATGTCATGCATGGTTGAGATCTGTAGTTTGCATGGTTTTCTAATTACTGGTATGTTGATCGGTATTAATCGGTTTCAATCAGTATTAGACTTAAATTGGCTGGAAGATTACCGATATGTAGCGGTAGTCAAAATCGATAAAAAAACATTCGAAACGAAGAAAAGAGTGATAAGACCGAAACGGTCAATTTTCAACCCCTAAACAAAATTATGTTGTTTTGATGGAATTAACTAACAAAGAAAAATAAATTTGTAGGATTCAAAAATGAATAGTTAAATGGTGATGCTAGCTATTGGATTCAAGTATAAGTGTTTGGATGTTGATGTTCAATGTTGCATTTAAATATGATGATTTTTCATTTTGTTTGTAATGTAATATATTATTTAAATATGATTGGAGATTATACAAAGATTGTTTTAAGATAAGATTACATAAATACACAAATCTTTTCTGTGTTCACGGTGTACCGTTGGCTATGTTTTGTTTAAACAAGAATAAATGGACATGTACATTGGTCAAACCATAGTACTTGCTAAACCTATATAATGGTATAAAGCAATTTGAAAACGTTCCTAGTTTGTGTATCAATTAGTCCCAATCAACCAATATAAATCAGTCTCGTCAAGTCCAAAATGATTAATAATAAAGAGTCCAATAAAGGAGCTAAACAGTAAATACCGAGTATATATAACATGGTGGTAATCCAAGACATGGTTCATTCGACATTCCTATAAATTTATAGTTAACTAAGAACATGTAATTAGTTACTTTTAACAACTCTCAGACCTTATGGTTATACATGACCAATGTTGGAGTCTGGGAGACAAATAACTTGGGAAGAAAGAGAGGCACGACTGAATAATAAAGCAGGAAAAGGCGTAGGAAGTGATGGAAAATAATGTTGCTGCTATAGTGCTATTCGATACGGAAGGAAGGAGTTGGACATCCAGTGACAAAACAGCGACCATCATGGATAGATCATAGATATAGAAAGGGGGTGTTAACTGTTAAGCAAAACGCAGAAGAAAGAAACGCATTCATCACCCAAAAAAAAAAACAAGAATGACACGTTTCAGTTTCATTCTGGACGACAGTACCAAAGTAGGGGGAGAAAAGGTAATTCTAACGTTCAACTACTAGTAACTAAGAATTTGGCAAAGGCGTAAATAAATAAAAAAAGGACTTTTGTTTAAGCCTCGAGTTCGGAGACTAATGCTACTGCTGCTCCAGCTCAGCTGGCCTGGGTTCTCTACCCTAGGCCTAAATCAACCAACAGCGTTTCTGAGAAGTAAACGGAGGAGGAAAAAAGGTTTTGTTAATTTCGTCAAGTCAACGTCACCAGCAAAACAAGAAACAAAGCTGGGTTGCGGGCATGTATGTATACATGTGTATTATTATTATTACTATATTTTCATTATTATTATTATTATTAAGATGGCCTTGGCCTGGGCCTGGGGGGGTTAACTTTGGTAGAAGAGAAAATTACCTCAAGGGGGAATCCTACGTTGTTGTACACTCCCAACTCCTCCTCCCCATTTCCTATTTCACCCACACACGCACTCCCACGCGCGCATTCACCAACACACTATTTCCTTCTCTTCTCTTCTCTTTTCTTATCTGCATGGAGGTTGGAATCCATACATTCATAATTTCGTTTTCGTATCCTTTCTTGCTTATGTTTTGTTTTTTCTCTTCTTTAATTTTACCCCCAAATTGAATGAATAGACGAACGCAGTAAGAAACCCTAACTAGCTAACATCAATCCGTCCAAACCAAGGAACGAACATCCGATGCAATTGAGATAAAAAACCAGAAGCTGGATTCGGCGCTACTAAAGTAGAGCAAATCGAGTCGAGAAGATGGGAAAGGATTTGTGCAATTGATGAAGTGAATTACCAGGAATCCGTAGAGTACTCGAAGAGCTTCCCCTTGGTGGAGAAGACGATGAGAGCCACTTCCGCGTCGCACAGAACAGAGATCTCATGCGCCTTCTTCAGCAGACCGGACCGCCGCTTCGAGAACGTCACCTGCCTGTTGATCTTGTTCTCTATCCTCCGCAGCTGCACTCTCCCTCTCCCCATTCTCTGCTCTGTCTGCCTTCCCGATCCAGACGGATTGATCAGGCTCCACACCGCACCAGATCAGAGGCCGAGCAGTTCAGCAGATGTATGCAGATCGATCGAGCGAGCTCCTCAAACCGCCTCTCTCTCTCTCTCTCTCTCTGCTAATTCCTTCCTTCCGCTTCTCCAATGGCCTCCCCCTTCTTCTTTTTCTTCTATTAGTTCTCTATGCTGTGTTTGGCGGAGGCAAGAAATTGAGAGAGATTTCTGAGCGCTATGGCTGCTTTGCTTTGCCTCGCCTCTCTCAGGTGGTTGGGTGTGTGGAACGTACCGTGGGTATTGCGTATATATCTTGGGGAAAAGGGGGGAGAGAGAGTGGGTTTTTGAGGTGCGATTAGCGGTTTTGTGAAACCAGGTGGTTTCGTCAAGTTCGTTGTCGATTTTTGATTGGTTGGAGAGTGACTGTTTTTTTTATTTTCCCCACTTTTCTCCTTCGCTTTTTTTGGCATTTTTGGGTTTCTCTCTCTCCCCCGACCCACTCTTTCAATTTTCCGATTGGTGTCCGTACAGATATGGTGGGGGCCACCACCTCCTCTGTCTTTTTAAAACCTTCCTCCGCCCTCCCCCTCCAACTTGCTTCGCCTGCCTCGTTGCGGTTTTAGGACGTCCACGAGCTTCAATTTTCTTAATTTATCTCTGGTCAATTTTTTTATCTTATCTTCCTCAGCAGGTGTGCTTTTCAGTCTAGTTTCCGTCGAAAAGGAAATATTCTCCTCTAAAAATTGTTAATGTGCAAAATGTCTAAAAACAAATGTAAATTGTCAAATTAGAAATAGAAAATAAAGCTATGCTCTCCCTAGTCCTCAGTTTCATTCCAATTTCCAAGCAGCAGAATGAGATGCGAACTATCTATCCTTATTTAGGCAGTTTACACGTTATCTAGTAATCCAATTTTGATTAAAACTAAGTAAGCTAAACAAGCAAGCAATTAACTTTAGTGAATTCAAACGAGAAAGTATCGCTCGGACATTGCTTCCTCTAATCTCATGTTAAGATGCAAAGATGAAACTCTAGTATGGTAGGTAGGTTCATATACCATTAATTAGCAGATTGAAAATTAGCTAGTATGATTGCTTCCCAACCCATTTAATAGATTGACTAAGGCTTGCGTAACTGATCCCTCATAAGTTAATTTGGAGCGAAGAAAAGTAACCAATCAAAATGAATCATGACACTTCTTTGATGATCGAGCGATGACCTGAATCGACTTATAGAAGGTTACCCGAATTGCCAAGAATGGGCTATAAGGGGATTTACTCCTTCTTGGTCAACTTATCCTTAAATTAAGGGATTTGATCAAGAACACCCAATTTTCATGAATAATACCTCAATCATTATATAAATCACAAACACAACACACATAGAGTTAAAATCCTACAATCTACAACATCCTAGACTAGGGTTCACAACATCCAAATAAAAATAAGAGACTACTCCAAATCTAGAAGAGAAAATACAACTAAGATAGAGGGAAAACCCATAGCAAAGTGATTCTCCCTCTTCCTCTACTCTTGGGCATGTGAAATTCCCCTTTCCTCCCTTCTTAGCTCGTAGGTCTCTCTATAAGCTTTGAAGAAGAAGCCTCCAATCTCTCTCTAGAACTATCTTTTCAAATTCAGTTCACTCTCGTTTTATACAGCTCTCGAGTGCACATATCACGGTCTCATACCATACCCGTGAAGTCGACTGTGAAACCGTTATCTCGGTGCAAAACATGTCGTTTCACTAATGAACTTCACGGGCTGCTTGTTGACATCACGGTTTGGAGAGCGTGATCTTGACAAAGCCGACGAGTCATCCAAATCCTTCAGGAAGTTTGCAGACTTCATGGTTTGCTTGTCCATTTCACGGTCTGCCATCCTTGATAATAGCTCTACAAGCGTGATATCTGCACTTTCGCCCGTGTTGCTCCATTTTCGCCATCTTCCGTCCGAATTTCGATTTCGGTGGCGCTATTTCCTGCTAAGGTCTGAAACATGACAAAAACGAACAAACCTCGAGCAAACTAGATCCAAGGACGGTGCAAACACATCAAACATCTCAAGTCAAGTGGTATGAAAGTGTGTAATCTATCTCGAATCAAGAGGTTGTGTTTCAAAGGCCTATTTGCACAAATAATTCATTTAAAGAAATAAATCCAAAATATAACAACATTTAAAAACTATTTCCCAAACTAGTCACCTAGAGATTTTTTGAGGGACCACGCTAGTTTCTAGCTAGGCTCATTCCTGTCATCCAAATTACAAAATTATCAATATGACATTTGTATATCAAATCATCTTTTCTGTTAGTTTTACCGTTATATCTAGGTGACTAGACAACACCTAGTAAGCGTCTACATGGCACATTGACATAGAAATTTTTAACAGCCAAGTAATATAATTAAAAATCAAAAGAAAAATAAAAAATAAAAATAGTAAACCTCTCGGCTCTCTCCCCTTCCCCGCACATCGTCGTCCGCCTGATCCCCTTCTTTCTTAGTCATTATCTCCCACCACCTGCAAGCCTCTGCCGTCTTCAATAGAAAAGCTTCGTCTACCGCACCAACGGCTCTGTTTCCTCCTTTCTTTCATCTCCTATTTTAATGCCATCAAAGCAACCGACAACCACACTCGCGATTCGATTCCATCGAAGTAGCCCGCAGTCAAAGTACGTGATTTTGATTCCAACAATGCCTCAGTATACCATTCGATTTCAATTCCATTCGGGTCCCATTGATGTGTTCGTCCTGGGTTGGGTCAAGGTCTGGCTTATGGAGGAGCTTCCTAGGCTGTGATGGGTTGCTTTTCTTTCAATTGGGTTCTTGGAGGAAAACGACGGCGAGAGAAGCTATGACAGGGGATTTGTTTAAAAGCATTGAGTTTGGAAACTTGAATTCGATTGTTTTGATTGCTTGATTATTGCATCAGTGCAAGAAACAAGACAGAGGAGGGTGGTGGTGGGATGAGGATCAGATGGCAAGGTCTCCATTTGAATCACTCCAACTACTACAATAAAATCATGACTAGAGCCCAAATACAAACTCTAGTAGGGTGCAACATAGGGTAAGTGTTTTAAAATGCCAACCAGGGCCGGTCCATGTACTCCTACTTCAACCGTTTAAAACATTATCTAGCAATCGATTTTTTAGTGAAAAGTAAGGTCTACAATTTAAACAAGAAAGAAGGTAAATGGTTTTAGAATCTATATGAGAAAGCTTCACTAGGGTATTGCTCCCCCTAGCTATATCAAGATCGACCGAATAGAAACCAATATGTAAGAATGTGCTCATACACCATGAGGAGAGCGCAACTAGTGAAGAAACTTCACTTTCATGGGTGATAGGCCAAGGAACAACAAATGAAGCTAGAAAACTAGCTCTCTTGGCCGCTCAACCAAGGGTTGCTAAGGCCACTCTCTCAGAACTTAATCCGGACGGTAAAATAACAACCAAATCAAAGTGTTAAATCAAAACTGGAGGCTTGCCCTAAATTGCCCTAGGTGGGTGACACAAATGGCCAATAAACCCAGCTTCTCAAAGCCTCTAGCCAACAAGGAGGTTTCTCTCGACCTATGTCAAATTGGCATGGTAATGAGAAATGAAGAACACAAGTCAAGAATTCTGGAAAATATCTCAAATTTTACGTTAAACATAAACCCACACACATAGCATTCAATCCATACAATCTTTCACATATCTGAAACTAGGGTTTACAATACCCAAGTCAAAAAGAGTACTACTTCATAGATAAACTAGGGATTACAACACAGAGAAGAGGAAGAACCATGGTGTGGTGTGTGACTTCCTTCATTGTTGTAGAAATCACACCTTGGAAGGTGAAAATCCCCAATGTTCAAGCTTGGAGCAAACCCTAGAGCACTTCTTCTTTCTTGGTTTGTCAGTTTCTCTCTCTAAAATTTAAAGAAGAAGAATAAGAAGAAGGCAATCTCTCACTAGGCTCCCGTCTTCAAGTTTCAGATCCAACATCCTATTATACCCAGATCGCGCACTTCACAGTCTCAGATCACGACAGTGATCTGGAAGCTCGGACCGTGATCTTAGACAAAAGTGCACCATTTCATTTAAGGACTTCAAGGGTTGGGGAAGATTATCACGGTCTGGCGATCATGATATCGTTTAGGCCCGCGAGGCGTAATAACTCTTCTAGCCTCCATGCTCTTTATGGTTTGGGACATGATCATGGACCTAGTGTGGCGCAGAGTTTTGGAGATAAATGAGAGGATTTACAAAATCCTCACTCTAGAGTTCCTTTTCACCCTGCCGACCAAATTCGTCAAGGGAGCTGATTTAAAGGACAACCCTCTGATCAGCTTTAGTTTGGGAGGGGTCAAGTTGAGAGGCAGATGACGATGAGAGAATTCACTTTCGCTCCTGACATCTACCCTCTAGAGTTCATCACCGACCGCGACTCCTAAATATATTTGAAGGCGGAAGTTGAGCTTCATTTTCCTCATGAATTCTGTGAGAATATCATGAAGATCCCTAGCTTCCGACCCTGGGACGTGAAGCTGTCGAAGGGGGGTGAGGTTTTACTTGAGTTCCGACTCATTCATCATGTCATTTCTCGCTCAGTTGGCAGGAAGCATGGGAGCAAGGGAAACCTCACAGCTAGAGATGCGACCTTCATCTAGAGCATGCAGAGCGACGTCCGGCTTCACCTGGGCCGAGCCATTTTGCTTACTCTTTCTCACCATGGGTCAGACAAGAGACTCCAAGCTTTGCATGGAAGAGGCTACATCACCAGGATCCCCAGACACCTTCGGGTTGATTTGACTGCAATCAAGAGTCAGCTAGATACCTACACGGTCCCAGTTCCATTTTCACATCTGAAGACCTATTTGAAGACTCTGGATCAGAATGAGGAAGGTATCCGAGGTGTTCGGGGCCTAGAGTTCACGAAGACCAACACAATGATTGTACATGGAGTTAATCACACTTTCCCTGGCCGTCCCAGTGGGAGGAGGCATAACTCATCTTCATAAAGTCCGTCTCAGCACGGATTCCATGTGGGACAGTCCAACCGTCCCCAGACATCTTATGCCGGAGACGCCCAAACATCCTTTGTTGATCTGGAGACCATCCTGAGGAACCAGTATAGGGACGCAGAGTGGAGGAACCATACGCTCGACTGCGCATGCCTTGATGAGGGAGAATGACCTGGACCCAGCTACGATTCCTCACCCTTTTGAGCGCACTCCTTTGCCGCGACCCTGCACCGTTGTGGAAGAGGATGGTGATAATGAGAGTTCAGACGAGCATTAGCCTCGTGTTCTAGATGGCACTACAGGGCCATTCCCTATCTTTTTCCTTCCTAGCTTGGACTATTGACGATTTCGTTTTACCTTTCGTTTCGAACATTAGTTTTTTGGTGC